GTGATTTGTTTTAGTGGAACTAAATAGCAATAGTGTTGGAGCATACATTAAATCGTCATCCGTAACTCTGTGGTCGTGTGATTTGTTTTAGTGGAACTAAATAGCAATAGTGTTGGAGCATACATTAAATCGTCATCCGTAACTCTGTGGTCGTGTGATTTGTTTGAGTGGAACTCAATAACAATAGTGTAGGAGCATACATTAAATCATCCGTAGCTCTTTGGTCGTTTGATTTGTTATATAGGAAAGAAGCTAGAGTTGCCCTCGGCTATCGCCTCGGGCAACTCTTACGCTGCTTTCGTGCTCTCCAAACTTCCCGCGTGCTCCATAACTCGATAGTGCACGCTAAAGCATGAACCAATTGTTAATTAGAGTATTTCGCCTTGAAGAAGAGTCGAAAAGTGTCGGAGAAAGAAAAGAGTACTTCGAAGATTTTCGAAGGACAAACAAAACTGAGAGGAAAGCAAGATTTACCTACTGATAGGGGCCGATTTAACGGCCGGATTTGATGTTATGTATCAAAACATTGTACGTCGTAGCTCCTTCCCCTTCTCATGAGACAAATTACGAGAAAAATACCTTGTTTAGGTTATCTGATCCTTTGAATCTTCGTTTGTTTCTCTTAAATCGACGTAGAGGTACTCAGACTCCATTCTTGGATAAACACACCTCGAAAATTAGTGCTTACAATCCTTCTCTTGCGTCAGGGAGTTCCCGGGACAAAAGAATCGATCAGTTGTAAGGGTTTTTTATGCGCTCGTGTTTGTCTTTCAGCCTGCAGATGTAACAAACAGGGCTCCGCATCGTTAGTCTGTGACCAGAACACAGGACACTGTAGTTGCAAGCCTGGTGTCAGAGGACGAAAATGTGATGCATGTCCTGTTAATTCTTATGGCTTTCCTACATGTACAGGTGAGTTGGGGAAACCTCTTTAATGAGTCAGATTGCAAATGAAGAATTGCGCCTACAGCGAAGCAATGCTTCAATGAGCGCCAGTGGTAAACGCAGGAACGGTCACAAAAATTATTGTACTTTATTACACGACTCGGGAAGTCAGAGGGCCAATAACTAAAATCAACCAATCAAAATGCTCTATTGCCGGTCAATATTCCCTCAGTATTGGACCGGGCACTGTCCCGAATGGTCCCAAATGATACCGCACTTGTGTCCCTTTGAACTTCAGTCGTGTAATAAATCTCTTATTAACCAAGCTTTCTCGGGACCGTACTGGAAGAATATCGGCCCTCGGTCTTTTTTGTACGGACCTCGCTGCGCTCGGTCCGTACTGTCAAGACCTCGG